AGGCGTGGGGGGGGGGGGGGGGCAAGGGGAAGCGAAGTGGGGGAGGGGCGTCCTATTCCCTCCCCACGGCTGCCTGTCAGCGCTTCTCGGGGGATCTGACGGGGGCTTCAGCCTGAAGCTCAAAGCACAAAGTCACCCAGTGCAATGAACTTCTGGAGCCCTTTCCCTTTCTGTGCCATTCAGTCTGTGCGAGCCAGAGACTGCCTCCTCTGACGCTCCCCCCACCCCGCACCCGGCTATTATTTTGCAGGCTCTGATCTCCCCTGGCTGAGCCGAGGCGCTCAGCACAGAATCCAGCTCACAACTCCTACCTGCTCCGTTCATTGCTCTTGTTATTGTTTTTCCTTTTAGGGACAGTCATAGCGAGCCCCCCCCCCCCCCCCGGCTCCGGGGAAGGATTTTCTTGCAGGAACCGCAAACCGCAGCAAACTTGTCTCTGGCGCAAGCAACATTCCTAAGAAACGAGACGCGAGGATGTGTCGATTTCCAACGTGCCAGGAATTCTGACCGCCTGGGAAACACCTGTCACCAGGGAGGGGAGAGCAGAGATCTCCCCGGAGCAGCACGACTTTAGCCAGAGTTAGCGATTTCCAAAGGGATCCCAGCATGAGCAAGCCGGCAGGATCAACAAGTGGGTAATATGCGGTGCAGGTTTCTAACCGCCTTTAGAAGAACTAGCCCAGGCTGGGCGCTTTGCAAACGCGCGTGTGTTGCCCTCTGAATGCGCAGTTAATGCGCATTCAGGCCCCCGGGGGAATTTTGGGGAGCTTGGAACAAGTTCTTGCACAACATGGGGTTTGTCATTCTTACCGGCTTGTTCCAACCGCGCAGCCTCCTAGTGAAATCTTGCTCCACGGTTGGTGTCGAGCATGTCTGAAATGCAGTTTATACGTGCAGCGAAGGGTTAGCTGTATTCCACCTGGAGGTGAGCAGGGTTTTTTTTGGAGGGGGGGTGGTCTGCGTGAGTCTGTGTGTGTGTGTGTTTGGTTTTAAAGAGCTAAAACGTGCTGATTCTCTCATGGAATTTACTCCGCCTTTTTCTGCAGGACAATATATTTTTTAAAAAAGAGTTTAAAACTCAGATCAGTAATAAATGACACGGAATCGCATAAGCAACTCTGCTGAAAGAGGATTTAAATGCAACACTTTGCACACCATTCGCAGTCATAGCAAATAATCCTGCAGAGAGGAAAGCAGAAACAACTTAAAAGTCACATTTTCCTTAATCCTAAATCCGTGTACCTCGTAACTGGGGAATTTGAAGTATGACTAACCGCTCCTGCGAAGAGCGGCTCCCTCGATCTAATCCCAAATGGCACTTTGGGAGTTTCTAATATGGATAGAGTTCAGTAACAAAAAGGGAAAAAATACACAATCCAATTGAATGTCTGACAAGTGATTGACTGGACATGTCTATTCCTTTCTATTTCATAGTTTTGGGTAGAACAGGGTCGTCGTGTTGCAATTTACACACGAGGAGCTGAAAAGTGAGTGTACACGTGAGTTTGCGACAATATGTACATAACTGCTACTGTCCCACTACTGCATGCACACCTAACACACCCGCTGCTTGTCTTTGCTTCTAACCTCTATTATGCCGCATCCTCCTTTGTCCCTTGGAGGTTTGAATCCATGTAGGGAGAAGCCGCTGTTTTCGCTGGCTGCCTGGCCATTCTTGTTCGGAGTTTTGCCGTTGTTGCTTCAGTTCAGCCGGTCTCGAATCTAGGGGGCTATTTTGGGAAAGCGAGAGGGTGAAGTTGATGTCTGCCTATGTAGCGAGTGGCTTGTGTTCAGTATTTTCCTACAGAGGCAATTAGGCTTTTCCCCCACCCCGCAAGGAACTTGATTTGTCACTAACAAAAGCCGAGCGGAGAAACCAAATGAAGATGTAAGGATTTGATCTCGCATTTGTGGCGCACTCAAAAGTCCCCCCGAAGTCCCCCATCGAGAGGGAATTGGGTAGCAAAGGATGAGGGAGCGAAAGCAGCAAATTAAAGAGTTTCCTGGCATATTTCTTTAAAGATAAGGTTAAAATAAAGCGGAGGAGACGGGTAGCAAAAAGGCCCAGTGGCCCAAATGCGTTTGAGGTGATAGAAAATATTTGGGGGGACAGAAAACCCAGAGCACTCAGAACCTTGGTTTGGCCAGACAGACTCCCCATCCTGCTGGGGCTTTCCCAGTACCCTTCTCAATTCTGCCACCGTGAAATCAGTCAGTCGCGCTTTGACTTCTGGCTCGGATATTCCCTGGAGCCAGTTCAAAGCCAGTGTGTTACTTACCGAGTTTTCCTCCCGCGAGAGCTGGCGCTTCCAGCGGCACCCACTGCCGTTTGAAATGGATTTGTTACCCGGCCCAGCCCGCTTTTCCCGAAATCTGACCAGGAGAGAAAAGCGCCTCTTCGCCTTTTATAGGCCGAGGGAAGAAAACCACCCCGGAATTTAGCTCTCGGGCTACGTTGCTATTTCTGGAACCTTGGGTGGATGCTCAGCACGCTGCACCATTGCATGGGGAACGGGTGAATTGTGCTATAGACACACAGGGTGCTGGTTGTGAGTAAAGAAAGAAAAAAGGGGGGGGGTCTCACGTTTCAGGAGACCAACGCAAATGTTGTAACCGAGGTGGGTAAAAGTTTGACGGGATTTCACGCGGCTTTTTTAGCACTTTCCTCAAATTGGTCTAATTTCTAAGCCTAGATTTGATCCAAGCGTCTCGTGGGAGAAGTTATCTTTCGGGGAGAACAGGAGGGAGATTAAATTTAAAAAAACAATAAATGGGCAGGTTCATCCTGTACAGAGTAACTCGGCTACCCCCTGAAGCAGGAGAGAGATTGAGAGAGAGAGCGATCTAATGGGAAATCCGCAAAACGTTCCCGAAAGAACGGGTGCTAGCCTGTGATTGTAGCCACCAGAGAAAGGACCGAGGTCTGCGGCTGAGAGCGAAGTCAGAAGCAGATGGGGGGCGAAGGGAGAGTAATTTAGGGAGCTGCAGGCTCAAGGTATTTTCTACTGTGGCTTTTCTCCTAGGCCTGAGTCAACAAGCGTGAATCTTGCTCCAGTTTCTCTCCAGTTGAGTGTATAGTTATGTCAAACGTGCTCTCTGCCTGGGTGGCAACCAGACCCCATCCAGCAGTCCCGCAAACCCAGACTAACTTCTTTCAACAGCCTCTGATGGTAATTACAGTAATCGAAGCTGCCATATATCTTTAAGCAATTATGACACACAAAAAGCTGCCAAGGACCCCCCGTCGAGAGATGTTCAAAACGGTTTCCCAGTTCAACAAAATTAAGTTTTCTTAGCGTTGGACTTCTGAGACCACGCTCTGCTTCGTCAAATGGGAGCTCTTTTAAACAGGGTCAATCAGTTATCTCCTGACCCTGTGTCAAGTTAACATTTCTCTCTCGCTCGCTTCTTTTTTCTTTCTTTCATATTTGTTCTGCCCAAGAATTTTCTCGTAACAGCAGCCAGCCTGGGCTGAGTGGCTGACGCTCCACAAAGACGTTGAGGAGAGTCAGAAAGTAATTGACAAAGTGATCAGATGAGACTGACGCAGGATTGGGAGACGGAGAAAGTTTAGTTAGAGATGGAGTTGGGGGTGTGGGGGTCGACTTGCGAGTAGAATTATATTATACATGAATTACTATAAATCTAGCCGCAATTTTCATCGCCGACTTCTTTTTTATAATTATAGAGGCGAATGCTGAATTTAGCATTGTTATACCAGCTCTAAGACGAAGGGATTTTAAATAGTATTTTATCGTCTCTAGATCTGGCGAAATAAAATACAAAAAATGAACCTCGCCTTAGAAAAATGTTTTCATATTAAATAAAAGTTACCCTCCGAGTTTATACAATATGCCAATACCGATAGCAATTATTTAGTTCCCAAAAAGAGAGAGACCCTCACACTGTCCTTAATTTCACCCACTCACTGGCTAGTTTGAGACTGGCTTCAAAAATTCCTTGCGGTTGAAAAAACAAAGTTGTTTTTTTTCTGTAGCGGGAAGCTCCGATTTATCTGCAAGCTTCAGGCAAGGGAAGAAAGTGTAAGATTTGCATAGCTCAAATCACATTCCGCCGTGCCTCTGAACTCCGCATTTAGTTTGGCGGCGCCGGTGACATGACATAGAAGGGGATGGCACCGTTGCATGTACAATTTCAGTATGTGTGTGTGTGAGAGAGTGTGTATGCGTGTGTCAGTGGACGCTGAAGGGGGTGGGGGAGTCGAGTGCTCTCCCCTGTTGGCATTGTGTGATATCCGAATTCCCATGCTACTCTTTTTGACGGGTCACTGGTGACCCAATAGGCAGGTGGCAAGGAGGGCTTGTAATTACACAATCCCAGAAATCATTCCTTGTCCCCAAACCCTAGTCGCGATTTCCTACCTGCTGCAGATCCAGAGCCACAACTTACGTTACAGGCTTTAGGAGAAACCGGTGGGGTGACGGTCCTAGCTGCACTTGTTATTTATTGCGTAAAAGTTTTCCATTATTTAAGCCCTCTCCGCAGCCCCCTCCCTTCCTCAGCCCCTAACCTAATCCCCATTCCTCTAGCCGTGTTGTATATAGCAGCTGTCGAGTTTCATTTAGGGGAGAAGCTGGCAGCTTGTGCTGATTGGAGGCAGTCAAACGAGTTTCAATGGGAAAAATCATTAAGTTAACACTTTATCTAATGTCCCTATTGTCTGCCCGGAGGCATTGTTTTAAAGCCTCCGGATAGACACGTCTGAAAGCATCTCGAGCTCCTAAATTCTCTAGGGAGCAAGAGACTCCTCTGAATCTAGCTTCCAACCCCCTCCCCCATCCCGACCCTCCTTCCACCCCTATAGCCCCACACACTTAAGACACTCTGACTGAGCTAATGCAATGCAAAGCAAATTGCTATAAAGCACACCGGCCAGTGTTTTTCATATCCAGGTTTTGGGAGAGAACTGCTTGAGTTACTTGTGGGGGAAAAAGAGATGGTGTAAACAGAAAAGAAAAGAAAAGAAAAGAAAAGAAAAGAAAAGAAAAGAAAAGAAAAGAAAAGAAAAAGGTGCTGGTAGTGAGTTTTGTGATAATCTTTGAAATAGGATTAATAATCTTGATACATTTTATTACTTTTGGTGCATTTGCAATTACAGTAAAAGTCGCTGGAAAGTAAACATAATTCAGACTGTGTGAACTTCCAGATAGATAGATAGATAGATAGATAGATAGATCCCTTTGATAGTACTAAACCAGGCGTTTCCAACATGTCCAGCAGTACATAAACTACATAAACTGTTCTTTCAAAAAATGAATGCAGGAAGTTTTGTTTAAATGTTAGGGAAATGGCAGCACATTCGAGGTAATGGCGGGAACAAGCACATCTGGAAGCTGTTTTTGTGACTTGCTTCTCTCCCCTCCCTGCCCACAGAACGTAGTTCTCCCTGTTGGAAGAGCACTACAGAATCTAGCAAAAACTTTTCTCTCCTAGCAGGAAGGTTTTGCTACTTGCGGCTGTTGCTGTAATCTTTCTTTCCAAAATGGGTCTTGGCGATTATAGAAGGTCCAAATAAATGTAGCGGTGCATGAATAATTCTCATTGTAGGAAACTGACACATGCTCAAGGAAAAGAAGGTTGGCTATAAAATCACTTCATTATTTGCTTTTATCGGAGCTCCGGTGCTAATCCCTTCAGAGGTCAGATTGCTTAGTTCTCTCCCTCTCTCTTTCTCCCCCCTCCCCTTGCCTCTGCTTTTTCAGGTCGTATTTTAGATATCCCTTGTAAAGTGTGTGGGGACCGCAGCTCCGGCAAGCACTATGGGGTTTACGCCTGCGATGGATGCTCGGGATTTTTCAAACGGAGCATCAGGAGGAATCGGACGTACGTCTGCAAATCTGGAAATCAGGTACTAGGGACAGCATCCCCCTTCCACTATTGTACTGTGACCCTGGAGTTCCCCTCTGTCCTGCCGAATAGCGAGCACAATCCCATATGCACCCTGCCAACTGGATCCCACCCCAGTTTAATACATTCTAGAAAGGGGGGGCTGGTCTTCCTCGGTGATAGATTTTAAGCAGCTCAGGTCGTTTGCCTAACATTTTAGGATGTTTACATTTCTACAGTGCGTTTCAATGCCAGCTTCTTCCGGGCACGTATTATAATAGAACAGGAGTCACCTTTCTGGGGGGATTTAAATGGCAAATCAACAATCAGATCTCATGCTTCAAGACAGAATGGTCGCCTGCAGCGGCCAGGAAGGAATGTCTACCCAGCCACTTCATTGTGGGGGAGTTTCGCCAGAGCTACTGACCAGTGAATTGGCTCGGCAGCATTAGGTATTGCACTGAGGCAGGATAACGGATTCCACACGTCAGATATTTCCTCTTAACTCAAGAGGCAGTCACAATTAGAGTGAACTGCCATGTGGCAAACAGCACAATGTGTATTAGCCTTAGGCTGGGCAGTTTTCCGAGGCCAGTCCCCCAGGCTCGGTGTGTGGAGAATACGCCCTGGTTTCGCGCACCTGTGGCAGTACCTGTGACCCCGGAGTATAGAAATACTCGGCCAGAGACACTGCAAGCCAGTGGACTTTAACGACAATCCCCTGCCTTAGTGTGATCTCCTCTTGCTGCAGGTTCCAGGTTCTATATTTGTCTCGGCTGCCTCACCGGGCAAGGCACCGCCTTGCCTGTTTGCATGGAAAAGAGGGCCCGAGAGACCACTATTTTGAGCCGATGCTTTGACACCTACAAATATATCCAAGTCGGGAAACAATCAACACCCCCTTCCAATTCCTGTCTCCCCTACTTTTGTCCCCCTCCCCCGGAATTACAAGACAAGCGCAGCTACGGGGCGAGAGGCGGGTGAGTGGAGGAGCTGATGAGGTCAAGCCAAGCCAATACCATAGTTACAGGGACGATTTCTTGGAAACAAAACTTCCCCTCCCGCCCATCTCGCTGGAAAAGGCCTTGGCACAAGCCAGAGTGCCTTGTCCGGATCACTGTGAAACTCGGGACAGCAACAATCCCAGCTCGCACCAACTATCTAATAAAAGCAACCAGCCAAGGCGGGTGAGGCAGCATTGTTTGCTGAACTAACTTCTGTGGGTGAAAGAGACAAGCTTTGGAGCGCGTATTCAGGACAGCGGCGCTCAAAAGCGGGTCCTTTTCATCCGCAGGGGTTGCTCTAATCAAAGATCTCGCCTCGCCCACCTTGTCTCGCTCAGCCCCTGAGACCAGCCGGCTGCAGCAAAGCCGCAAGTAGATTCTAATCAAGGCAACTAGAAGATTTCAGTCCAGGCTTAATTCGAATTGGCCGTGTTGCAACTAGACTGGGGAGGGGGGCTCTGCGGAGCATTCGAACTGTTCGCTCACGCCGGAAAAGCCTTTTCACTTTACGCCCCACTCTTTGTCTCCTCTGTGTGTTCCCAACCCCACGCCGCGCCGGCCCTTGGCAAGTTCCCACGGGTGGCACTGTGACTCGGGCAAGGCCGGGCGTGGGTCGGTCACACGTGTAACCATACGGTTATATAGAGCGTCCACCAGGGCGCTGTGTAACTCGTGTCACCTCCACTCGCCCCCCGCCCCTTCTAACGATCGGCTCCCAGGGACGCTCAGAGGCTGCCCCCTCAACAGGGAGATGGCACAGAGAGCGCTGCAGTAAGGTGTTCGGACAACGTGCGCTGTGCTTGGCGACCCGTGCGGGGAGAGGAACTAGCTGGACTCGATGACCTCCAAGGTCTCTTCCAGCCCTAGGAGTCTAGCTAGAAATCATCCTCCCTCGTAACAACCCTGCGTTACGCGCCCTCGGCTTCTGGTCCTGGGATTGACTCTAAGGGTGTTTTAACTGGGAAGCTGGTTTTCTTTGCTCTCACTTTGCATGCACGCCTGCCCCGGCCCGAAGCGAAGCCACGGACAGCTGTGGGCGTTTCGCCCCGTGCTTCAGTGGGAGCTGGAGACTCCCGTAAGACTTTAGAGTACCTTTCGCTCTGCAGCCTGGCTTCTGGGAGGCCGGTGGCCAGTGACCCAATGTCAATTCTACGGGCTCTAGGCGGCTGCGAACCGGTTTCCAGCTCACATCGCAAGTCAGAACTGCGGGGAGTTCCAGCCAGATTGTTTCTGACTAATTAACACCAGCTCCTCTGGATTGTTCTCTGCCAAGCTGCCCCTTTTCTGAGAAGGGTTTCCCTCCATGATTATGTCTCAGAGGGCACCGGAGGCGTGGGGGGATGGCAGTACACCCACACCAGATGTCAGGAGTTAGCACTAGGTGCCTAGCAAAGGGTTGGCGCAAAAAGGAAGAGCCATTAGCTTTTGCTTGCTTGATGAATCAGCTTAAAAACCAATAAATAGTCTAAGAGCACCTTAAAGACTAACAAAACATGTAGATGGTGTCATGAGCTTTCGTAGGCAAAACCCACTTCTTCAGATGACTGGAGTATTAAAAGTCCAAATCCAAGAATAAATAAGGGAAGGCGGGAAAATAGTGAATTGGAGTGTTCAAGTTACAAGAAGCCAATAAGAACAATTTGCACTTTCTCTAAGTACCCCTTGTTTAGTTGGTTAAGTCATTAGGATGTTAAGTCATTAGGATGACTTAACCAACTAAACAATGGGTACTTAAGAAGGTGCAAATTGTTCTTATCGACTTCTAATTTATTATTTCTCCCCCTCCCCCATTCAATTCCCCCCTTCCGTTATTTATTCTTGGATCTGGACTTTTAATACTTCAGTCATCTGAAGAAATGGGTTGTGCCCACCAAAGCTCATGACACCATCTACACATTTTGTTAGTCTTTAAGGTGCTGCTAGACTTCCTTGTTTGTTTAAGTTTTTCCAGTTACACACTGACTCGGCTACCCCTCTGAAGCTTTTGATGAATCAAGTTATCTGTGATCCCCGGGCTAAATGATTAGAGCTGGTGCTCGAGTATTACCTCCCCCGTTCCTTCCCCCCCGCCTCCCAACTGCGTCGTTTGCTTTAATTTTTTTTTACAATTGTGATGCGTTGTCATTAGTATTTACATTTACTAACAACTCCCCCCCCCCCATCTTGCCCTCTGTTCTTACGGTCTCCATGCCCGCTACCTCCCCATGGGCTAAAGTCTGGCTTTGCGGGTGGATATTTCTGGCTTACTGAGCCTAGGGCTGTATGTGACTTTCTGGGACTATGGATGGCTTTAAGTTCATACTGCTCCTCATCGGACAGGGGCTCCCGCCGCACCTGCAGGCCTGGGGAGCTTTGTTATTTCGGGGCGCAGGCGGAGCCTCTGGGGGTGGGGAGCTGTCTAAGGTGCTGAAACAGATTTGCCCTTTGCCACCTGCCCACCCATTTATCAGGGTCCACATTCTATCCGCTTTTCTCCTTCCAGTAGCCCCATTGGGCCAGGTTCTGATCTTACACGGGAGGAAATCCTCATTAACGCCATTGGGGGTCACTGCGGAGCGACTCCAGTTTTTCCCCCTGTGTGACTGAGGCCAGATTCTGTTTTATGGATTTCACCTGGGCTGCTCCCAGGACTGAGCCAGCGGGATCTGGTCCCTTACACCTCGTAAGACTCTACATACTCTACAACCCAGAGGGAGTCTCCCCCGGAAAAGGCCCGTGGTAACTAGGTCGGATTCTAGGAGCAGAGACTCATGCCCGCCTTTCTGGATTTGGCACGCACCAATCCCCCCTTCACTTGTTTCGGGAGAAGCTCCCCATTCCTGCACAGCCGACAGCCCCATAGCTGAAGCGATCCTGCAAACCAAATCATTGTACCTCCCAGCTCCCGGTTTCTGTCCAGCTACAGACTGCGCTGCCCAAGGGCCAAGTCTGAGCCGTTTGCTCGGGCTAGACTCCCTTTTGGCGTCGCTGGGAGTTGTGCCTGAGCAAGGACCGTGCACACAGGTGTCCCAGGGAAGGGCTGACGGTGGCATCGGTTACAAGCAGAAGTGCCTGCTGGTTTCAGGGGGATGTTCTGCTTGGAAACTCTTAAGCACCACAACCCCTCCCTCTTCACTAGTACTTCTTAGGCGGACCATAAGCAGCCGGGGCGGGAGGAGGGGGCAGGGAGCATCCCCAATGCTGTGCGCTGGGAGCAGGTTCTCAGCTGTTGGCTCGTCAGGTGCCATCCCTTAAGGAGAGGGGTTTCTCTGTTGCAGGGCGGTTGCCCCGTGGATAAGACGCACAGGAACCAATGCAGGGCGTGCCGCCTGAAGAAGTGCTTGGAAGTGAACATGAACAAAGACGGTATTTGCACACAGCCCCTCCCCACCTCTCCCCCCCCTTCTCCCCTGGGCTGCGTTGTAGGAACTTACTCAGGAAAACCCCGGCTCGCAATGCGAGCGCCCCGTAACATTCCCTCCCAGCTGCCCGCAGAGTTCCCTTCCTCTTCCCCTGTGCCTGCCGCTAGGGCCACGCTGGGAAGGCTTGGCGGCAAAAGCACCGACGCTCCCCATTTCTCCGCTTGGCCCAACCAACATAGCCCGCCGGCGCCTGCCTTCACTCCCCTACCCCCGCCCACTCACGGCTCTAATTCGGAGCCGATCCGTTCCCCTCGGAACGTCTGGGATCCAGCTGTGTGCAATGGGCTCAAAGCCTGCCACAAAAGCAGCTCAAACAGGGAAACAAATGCGAGGAAACCACAAATGATCGTATTCCAGCCAACCCCAGCCCTCGGCCGGCAACCACTCGAGTTAGGGGAGCGATGCCGGGGATGGGTTTGGCCCATAACGCCCAGATCCAACATCTGTCGGGTTTTTGTGCAGGTATCGGGAAGTGTCACAGAGCGCTGAGTAATGATGACCCAGTTGTTCCAGAGCTGAGCGTTGATCTGGCTAGACACAATCTAGCCCCTTGTTTCAACGTCTGAGTCGGACCAGAAAAAAAGAGTAGTTCTATAATAACTTAATGAAATGCAGGCAGTGGGTGCAACCCTCAGTTTACAGAAGACAATAAGGCAGGATTCCCTTGCTTTATTCGGAGAACTAAGAACCTTGCTGTGAAAATTAGCCTTTCACCTTAGCTTTGTTTGAGCCGCAACGACTAAGAATAGAATTAAGAATCAATTCAAGCCCCTCAGGTGGAAGCCAGGAGGCCTGGCATTGGTCAGCAAACTAAGCTGTGAGATTTCCCTGGTTGTCTTAACAATACACAATAAACTCGTGTGCAGCCGTCTCATGCCTTCAGTGCCCAATAAACCTTTAAACACATTTTGGTCAGGAAAAAAATGAAATCCTGGCTTCTGGGATGTCCTGGGCAAAACTCTGATTGACCTGGATGGGGCCAGGATTTCAGGCTCAGATGGATTTATTAGCACATGTAAAACAGTGGCATACATTAACAGTATCTTTGCTGATGTACTTGCCACAATTAGCGGCAGAAATCTTCTCAACTTGAATCCGATTCCGATCCGATGAAGACGAGTAAGGGTGTGTCTAAACACCAGGCCTTAACTTAAAGTAAGCTACACAAACTGAGCTACATCAATTGCACAGCTTATTTCGAAATAGCTTATTTCAAAATTGGGAGCCTCTACACAGCAATTATTTTGAGAGAGAGCACTTTTCGGGTGTGTCCACACAGCACCCTAAACTCAAAATGAGATATGTAATTTGTGCTACACAAATTGAGTATCTTATTCCGAATCTACTTTGAAATACCTTATTCTGAAATTTGGTACATCTACACAGTGCCAAATTTCAAAATAATGCACTATTTTGAGCCATCCTTGTGCAACAAGGTTTACTGGGATGGTGAAATAGCATGCCCATTATTTTGAAAAATATTTTGAAAAATATTTTGAAATAATAGGAGGCTTGTGTAGACACCGGGTAGCTATTTCGGGACACCTCTAATATCCCAAAATAGTCATGCAGTGTAGACGTACTCTTCCTCTGACTTCCCTTACTCCTTGTACAATGAGGGTTACAGGAGTGGGAGTAAGAAGTCCTCCAACTTGATAGTATTTTGACATTATTTTGAAATAACTGCCTGCTGTGTAGAGGTGGACTAAGTTATTTTGAAATAATACTAATTATTTCAAAATAATGTTGCTGTGTAGACATACCCTAAGAGTTTAATTGGTCAAACATTCTAGGGGCCACTATAGGTAGAAATTCTTACCCAGCCTTGAAATAATTCTGAATTAAACTTGTTTTTCCACTATTGGTCTGGTCCTAATGCCTGCCAGAGTCAGTCTGGAAAGCACTGTGCTGTCATTGCTTCTCCAGGAATTAATGATTAATCTTTAATTGAAGATTATATCATGTGATGAAACCTCCAAGGAACATATCCAACCAACACTGGCAACCCTCTTGCTGATGGGACAGGCCCAAATAGTCTTGCAGATCCCAGGAGACCTAGAACCTCAGTAGAGCTACCCCTTAATTCTGCCCGTAAGGCTAATTCAATGCTCATTCCAGATTACAAAACAAACCGTGCTCCTCAACATCAATATGATCCAGTAACTAGTTAGCACGCTCCCCTGCAAAGCACCCCACACAGCACTCCTAAACTAGACATAGCAGGACAAAAACACCAGGGCTCCGAACTGTGTATTCCACTCAATGAATAACATTGTCATGACGGAGAGAAGGCTGCTATCCCTGTAAATGAAATCCAGACACATATTAGCTGTTAGCTGTTTTCATTGGTTTGCAGGAAAGAATCTGGCAGTGTAGATTTATGCTGCATTTCATATCACTCACGCAATATTAGGTACTGCAAATAATTACATGGCATGCAGTATCAGGCACTTGATTGTGCATATAACAGTAAATAACCAAGGACAGTGAAGTTCAGTGAGGTCTGTCCCAAAGTTCTTTTATTGGGGGGGATTTCCATTGATTTCAATGGGCGTTGGGATCAGGCCACAAGTGGGTAATGTATCCACTAAATGAGACTTTTTCTCCTAGCTGTGCAACATGAAAGAGGACCAAGAACATCCACAATAAGGAAGCAAGTAGCACTGTATTTCAGAGGCCACAAGGAAGAGAATGGAGCGACACCCCACTTTCCTTCTGCAGCGTTACCAGCTCCAGCCTTCTTTACTGCTGTCACACAGCTGGAGCCTCACAATCTGGAACTGGCTGCTGTATCTACTACCCCCGAAAGGCAGACATTGGTGGGACTGGCACAACCAACTCCAAAGGTCAGTTGCCTTCCATGTTCTAGTCAGGGACACTGGGACAGAGTTCAGAGATGCGGGAGAAAATATTAGAACCTGAAACCAGGCTTTGGAAAGTCTTGTTTTACAGCCGGGTTTGTTAATTGTCTCCAGAGGGTTTGTGAGGTCCAGTAATGTCTATAGTATAATACAGATCCAGACCCAATACTATCCCAATACTATGAAGTAGAAAACCTCTGCTATTGACCTGAGGGAGAATTGTATTTGAATAACAACTTTAGGGTTGGCCTCCCAATATTTATAAGATTCTTTTGGTGGAGAGTAAAAGAACGATTGTCAGCAAGTTAAAATCATTCTCAGCGTGTAGCGATAAATACACACGACTGCATTTTAGACATTAGCACACACCATTTGTGAACGGCTGTAGTATATGTATGATATTAATATGCATTCCATGGAAAGACATACAGAAAGTAGAACGGTTCATAAATACTGCCATCTGCAGTCTACCCACCAACCTACATGTTTCAGTCTTGGACACAGTATTATTAAAATGACTGGAGATGATTGGAAAATCATTGACTTTCTGGACAATAAAAGTCTCTGTAATAACTAAGCCCCATAATGCACTGTAATATATTGAACAAATTCTCTTTATTTCTTCGTTTTTGACATTTAGTAAACAGCATAGGAAATCGCTGTCATAAACTTGGCAGATGAGCCTTAGTTACGAGTTATTGAAATCAATAACTGAAACATCTTAATGCTTTTCTTTCCAAAATAGTAATATGGACAGTTGTATTTAGAGTACATAACAAATTACAGGCAAATGGTAAATCAACCCGGTCTATTGTTTGGTGAATCCCACTGTGCACTTCCTTGTAAAATCAGATTCTTATTTTTGTAAATGTAAATTCAAAAATATGAAACCAGAAATTATTTTGCTCTGTGACCTCTGCACACCATTTAAGCACATGTTTAAATCAGTGGGACTTAATAAGCATGTGACTAAGGAAAAGCAGAATAGAGATAGACTGCTGAATATGGGAGACAAAATATAACGTTGATCCAAACATATACATTTCTGCTGTGAAAGAAGAGAAATTTGAAAAAAATCTAAAGAGATAGAGTCCAGGAATTAATAAGTTTCTTCTACCATTGCATTATTTCTTGCCATACTTGTAAGATTATCCTTTGTGGACCCATTTAATCCCATGGATAACAAAGCAAATGACCTGGTTTTTAAAGGGCCCACTGAAGCCAATGGAAGTTTTGCTATTAATATCAGTGGATGCGGGATGGGATCACTTTAGTTATCTGTGTACAGGAATGACTAGTGAAGTAGAAGCATATCTGAGGAGAAAGATTTAAAAAAAAGGGCAGGGCTCTGTAGCCAAGGGTTCATTTCTAGTTTATGTTTAATGTTCCCAAATGCTTTTGTTTCAATGTTTCAGCCAGCCACCTGCAGGTTCAGAGATTCTCCCTTCCCCTTCTTTTTGCTCAAGAGTTCTTGAGCAAAAGGTCTTGCACAACAGGACGTCTGCATTGCCATGTGCTTTTGTGCAAGAGATATGCTTTTGCGCCAGTGTCCATGGCAGAGTGGATGGTCTATTGCGCAAGAAAGCTCTGATGGTTATTTTAACCATAGGGGGTTCTTGCGCAAGAAACCCCTGTTGCCTGTCCACACTGCCTTCTTGCGCAAGAGCTCTGGCACAAGAGGGGTTATTCCATGTGGGGAGAGGAATAACTCTTGCACAAGAAGCCCTCTGTTCTGACGCTTTACTGTAAATTTACTTGCGCAAGATGCACGTGCAGTGTAGACGCTCCGCAAGTTTTTGTGCAAGAACAGCTGTTCTTGTGCAAAAAGCCTGCAGTGTACTCATAGCCCCAGAGTATAATGCTGCTGTTTGGCCAGTTTAGTTTTATCTTTTCGTTTGTTTGTTTTTAATCTCCTTCCTCTGAAGCTTCAGAGATGGCCATAGCTGGAGATGGGACAATGGGTGGGCTGGGCCAAGTGCATTCTGTCTCTCAGGTTCTTGGCTGGTTGGTTCCTACTCACACACAGAGGGATCACTATATACAAGGTTGGGAACACGTTATAAGTTGGGAAGGTGAGAGTGGGGAAGGGGGGCCACTTTGTGACATATACATGTGGGTCACTTGCCAGGGTTAGCAATCACGTGCCTGCCCTTGCTTCAGACACTGCTGCATCTCAGTCCTGGGACAACACATAGGGGGCTTGGGAGGGCACATGCCACCAAAAACTATGGCCAGAGAGGCAAGGAGCTGTCCAGCAGCTTGTGGGGCCAGAGTCCCTGGTTGGCCCAGGGGGGTCTGTGAGGAGGGGGCTGGCACCTGCAGCAGGGGTCTAGC